ACTGTCATCAATCTTGAACCACTCCCCCTGATTATTCTTTACATAACACACGTAATGGCCTGAATATGCAGCATTCATAATGTCCAAGTGAACAACCACAGCATAAAGACTGTACAAAGCAGATCTATCACTTGTTCCACCCATATATGGTGACATGTTGAGAACCTCTGGGAACCGTACCGACTTATTCAGCTTCTCAAAGTTACGAGACTGCAGTCATGGATGGTAAAGAGAACACGTTAATATTTCTAAAAAAATACATGACAAGCAAAGTTCAAAAAATACATAAAAGAATTTTAATTACCTGAAAACGCTTCAACACAATTGTAAGGATATTTGGTGCCTCCATAACTGTTAATTTCTTTTTGGCTTTCTCATAAGATTTACACCTTCACAAATGTTGGGAACAAACAAGCATCAAAGAATTAGAAGAGTGGAAAAAAGAAGACTTGAGACCCACCTGAAAGAATACTTTATATAAGTAACATACTGAATCTAAAAATTTGTCAGGCCACCTAAGAAGATGGGTCAAATTGCCCAACCAAAGCGAGGAAAAAATAATTTTTGAACTAGCAGTGATGTAGGTGAGCACTCTGAGATCATATTGCACTAGAATCTCCATATTTACATGGTTCCTCAGCTATAATCAGGCCACAAGTGTTAAGGCCTGTACAGAAACACCTCAACAAAAGAACAACAAACAGAAGTGTTAAGCAAAGACACAGGTGTGTGATCATTGGGTGACAAGCCCACCATCGCCCCCCGTCCCCCCCAACCTACCTTTCTCTCTCTATCTCTCCCAGTCCACAACCTATATAGTTGGTTGGCAGCCCAATTAGAAATTAGAAATAAAGCAACTATGCCATGAAGATAGTTGCTAACCATGATCTAGGTGTTGGGCATTGAAATCAGATGTAATAAGGGCCACAATGATAAAATAAGAGTTTTATCCCACAACTGAACAAATAAATAAAATTTATAATGGTGCAAATGAACCAACCTGCTACAATGGTACCTATTTTTTCCATCCAAAGTTTCAGTAGCCGTAAATTGTGCTAGAGCCTCTTCAAGAGTTCCAATTTCCCCGTCAATTTCGACAGTAAGATCCATCATCTGCTCAAATCGCTCAGATTTTCCAAGGCACTTCATACACGTTATCTGAGAATTCCAATCATGGCATCCCAAGAAATACCATTATTTATTTTTATTACAACATCAGAATGCACTTGTACATTTGTAAGTGAACAAAAACCCAAAAACATGTAAATTTTGACAAAATATCAAAAAAGTAACAACCTTAGATCGAAGGTAGCCTCCAAAAGTCATGCCTACTAGAGTTGTTTCTTCTGCCAAAGGACCAACAGCCCCGGCTTCCTTGAGGCAAACAGATTGCATGGTATCAACAGCATACCTGCCATCTTAGTAATTGGTGAAATGATACATATTCAAAAAAGGAAGAGTAGATCTTGCAACAAAGTTCTATCTGGTTGTCTTTAGCTGGCTCACCTCAAAAATTCATGAGCATCTTCTTCCCTTCCATGGCCAAGATTACTTCCAATTTTATGTATTTTAGATAGTATCCTGATCGGGGACAGTAAAGACTTCCCTTCCTTTGCCTTCATAAGAAGAATTTCAAACTCACAGATAAAACACCAGTCGTGCTTTTGACCTGGCACAGGGGTAAAATTTGTCAATGGAAAGGCCATCAAACACATGGTCCTAACAATTAAACTGGCTGTAAAAATTATAAAATTTATAAAAAAAATAAAAACAAAGTGTAGGAGTCATGAAGAGAAACTTGCATGCTCTAGAATGAAGCCCTTGAAGAAGATAAGAAGCAAGAGGCCGAGTAAATGCTAAACACTGGAGCACCGCATTAGCATAACAGCTGACAAAATCCAAATAAATAAATAATAGTATTATCAGCGAAAAATTCAATGAACTTCTATTAAAATTCGCATAAGAAAAATCTAAAGAGTTTTAACAGACCTGACAAAAGGATTTACAGAAGCTGAAACTGGTTAAACTCTAGTCTAGAGCATGAAAATGATTTATTTCTATATGTTTAATATGTTCTGTGCAAAAATAACTCTCCACATCACCTGTTCCCACAATTCATAAGGCCAAATGGACAAAGATCCACATTGTCATAGGAGTACAGTTTCACGAACAGTTCATACGGAAAAATTACCTGTCAATAATACAGTATAAAAACAAAATTGGTATCCAATCGATAACAGAGGAAACTACTAGTAAAGGAATCAATACAAATTTGACAATAACCTTGTATTTTCCAACAGTCTCTTCTCCACGACCTGAGAGGTTGGATTTCAGTTGTTTCGAGGATTTAAACTGCTGCACAACTTTCCTCACAGAAGTTTTCAATCCATTACAAGCATTTTGTGGCAAGTTTGGGATACTACCAACTTTTTCATTTGTAGGCAATGCATGATAAGCTTCAATCTTTTCATATCTAGAACTGGAATACATATGCTCTCCAGTGGTTGAAGATGGCCGATCAATAGAAACCCTATGTGACAGAGATTCTTCTTCTTTAGACTCATCTTCTGTGTCATTACTTGATGAGCTCTTGGACTTACAGGCATCAACAATAACCTTGTATTTTCCAACAGTCTCTTCTCCACAACCTGAGAGGTTGGATTTCAGTTGTTTTGAGGATTTAAACTGCTGCACAACTTTCCTCACAGAAGTTTTCAATCCATTACGAGCATTTTGTGGCAAGTTTGGGATACTACCAACTTTTTCATTTGTAGGCAATGCATGATAAGCTTCAATCTTTTCATATCTAGAACTGGAATACATATGCTCTCCAGTGGTTGAAGATGGCCGATCAATAGAAACCCTATGTGACAGAGATTCTTCTTCTTTAGACTCATCTTCTGTGTCATTACTTGATGAGCTCTTGGACTTACAGGCATCAGTAAGTTTCTTTTCTGATGAAATAGGTCTTCTGGTCAGCTTCTTACTGCCAATATTTTCAGGCTGAGCATCACCAGATATGTTTTTCTTGGCTTTGGGAATTTTTGGTGTAGATTCAACCTCTTTATCAGTATGACTGGATTTCATTTTACTTAACTTATTTGCATGTGATATGTCCTCCTGAATATTCGCCAACTTAGCGCATCCTGAGGGTAATGACATATTCTCAAGCTGATCAGGAGCAACACCATCAGAAAGAAGTTTCTCTCTGGCATCCCAAGATGCAGTTCTGAATGTGGTTAAATTAGCTTGTGATCCTTTTCCATCTGCGCAATGGTTAATTCAATCATCGTCATCCAATCATGAAAGAATGAAGCTTCTTAAACCAATTGAGATTAGTACTGTATCTCAAAAATGATTACCGTGATGAGATATTGCTTCACCATCGAAGTCACTCCTGTCTTGGAACTGCACGGCATCAATTGAAGGCTGACATTCATCTTTGTGACCTTGTCTCCAATGAATGATTTGACACTTACCAGAACTACAAGAAAATGTTCAAGTGAAAACAATGTTTAACTATATCTATGCTAGCATGTGTAACCACCAAGGCAAGAATGAGAGCGATTGTCCACATCCCATGGTAATTCAGAGTTCAGAGAGTTAGACATACAGAAAGGCATGATCGGAAGCCCAAAATATTATAGTTAAATCTGGTGATAATGTCTTCAAAACTAAAATCAAATCAAATCTTTCCCGTAGGAGCTAGCAGCCAGATCCAAATATCAAATCATGTATATTTTCCTATTTATAATGTTTCCTCAACACAAAATAATAATAGTACTAATAATAATCCAAGGGCATAATCTCACGCAATAGAATTTTGATACACAAGCAACACACTAGCTGGACAATTGCAATTTCTCAATTAAACAGCAAGCTGAATCCATCACATAATTCAAACAAATACTTAAACATCGTCCAGAAAAAGCATAAAATAAAGCTAAAAAGAAAAAATAATTAAAAGAAAAACGAACCAGTATCGGACAGCCTTGCATTTAGAGCAGCGCATTGTGGTGCTGGCATAGCAGACGGCACAGTGGTACGGCAAGGACACCGGCTGCACAACCGGAGCGTAAGGAGACGTGGCCTGAAACTCAGCGACAGCGGTCTCTTCGGAAGCCATAGCCACAAGACGCATGATTTCCTCTTTATTGACCACCGCATTCTTCCACTTGTGACGAATCACAAGGAAACAGGCCAGGACGAGGAGCAGTAGGAGGCCCTGAAACCCTAGAATTCCAGGGACCAGCATTGATCCAATTCGTCGAGTCAGTTGATCTTATCCGGCGCCAAGGATGAGACCAGAACACAGAAACCCTAGAATGTCTTTTCTGCTATACATAAATCCGACGGCGGTGGCGGTGAGGGGGTAGGGAGAGGAAATGGGGGAAATTTGGAGGTGCAGAAAGGGAATTTGTGTGAGGGTAGTGTTGTTGGTGATGGAAGTGCGAAGGAAGCATCTGGTGGATGTAGGTGTGATGTGG